CCGCTCCCGGGTCTCCCTGGGAAGAGGCGGGCCGCTGTCCCCGGCCTCCTCAGCTCTGGGTTTGATCTCAGGAAAACACCAGCCACACACGAGAACCATCCCTTCCTACATCTGACATCCCGGAGTGCAAAACAGCTCTTCTCGATTATTTAATAAATGTGTATTTTTAGGATTTTTGTCTTTTTATCACCCTCCCCCACCTCGCCCCCTCCTTCAGACCAGTTTTGTATGCCCTTAGACTCAATAGTTCTCAACTCTGCAAATGGCCCTATTTATTTTACACACACCTTGTGGGCCTCCAAGTTTCTGCCCCCAGACCCTCCTGAATAACATTTTAGTCAGTGGAACTGAAACGTACCAGAACCCAATTCAGATAAAATAAAACACTATTAAATACGATTGCTGATGATGTTATTTCTCCACAAGTTTAACTTGGCACCATTTTCATGACATCTCTTGTATCCTTTAAGACATGGCAAAGAATTGAAACTACAAAGCAGCTGCACTTCTTTGTACTGGCTTTGTGGCCCAGTATTGCTTGGAAATACGTAAAGTGGTGATGCACCTTCCTACCTAAAGTTTTCTATGCAAAGTATCAGGTATATCCTCACAGTTTGGGGGTCCTTTACCGTTGGTGTTGGCGTTAGAGGTGTCTACACCCAGCGTGCGGTTAGCAGTGTCCTGACAGCGGAGGCTGAGATGGGTGCCCTCAGCTGCCCTCAACTGCCCTTTGAGGACTGAAAGGCAGAGCATACAACTGTTTAACGGCCTTTTTTTTTTATTTTGCAAAGGTTGCTTTTTCTTGATAAGGACATGGCTTTAACAACTGAAATAAGAATTAATGAAGGTAGGACAGATTCTCGTTTCAGTCTGTGTTGTTTTTTTCTATGAACTGTTGTGGATGTTGCCTGAGTCCATGTTATTTAAACTTAAGTATTGCATGAAGTTCATTCTTATGAACTGTATGTGGTCTCTTATATCCATAGTTTTAGCTTGTATTTTAGAAGAATGTTCAGCACATTTTTAATATTTGAAAAATAGGTTTGCTCTTAATTTCTCCTTTCTTCCTATGTACTATAACTGAGAATGCCTGGCTTGGGAAGTGTTTGAACTATATATAGGGATATCCTTTTTATTTAGGTATGTGTATTGTGTTTGAGTAGAATAAAATAAATGGTATCTAAACATTTAATAGTCATATAAATAGAATCTATACATATAATAGTCATATGTAACTATAGTTACATTTATGATTTTAAAAAAGGTAAACATTGTTACTATATCCATTCTTTTTAAATTTAACATACAAAATTTGCGTAGGGATATTTAAGTGCATTATTTTAAGTGTATTATTAAGTTACTTTAAACATAAATGCATGCATGCTCATTTAAATGCCTTAAAATCTTCCCTAATAACTCTCTTAGAGCAGGTTGCGTGAGCAAGCATGTTGTAGTTACATAGTACTTTTACTGATACCTCCTTGGCATTTTTATATAATCCATTTGACTTGCATCCTGTATGTTTTATTCCAGCAATACAGAGACGCCTATTCTTTAAGTGACACAAGGTGTTCTTAGTGTTATTCCAGAGTTTTGTTTGTTTGTATTTTTGCCAATTTGAAGACCTGAGTGGGCTATCATTTTTTTAATCAACCTGGTCTGAGTTAATAGAAATCTTATCTACAGCCCATTGAAATCTGCAGAAACTTTTCCTATGGCTGTGATTTCCTGATGCTGAGCCTTTCATAGTTGCTCAGTAGTTTTGTCTGAGGAAGGAAGCATCGTCCCATTTTGGACTTACCTGTGGTTATCCACTGGAATTAAAACCTGGCAACATTAAACATACATGGTTTAAGGCATGTTTATTTAACTCATTGTTCAGGTTGTGGAGTAGGGATTTGTCTCAGGGTTGGGTGGGGTTTTTTTGTCTCTGTAAATGTAATAGTTTATTATGTTTTTAGCATTCTGCCTGCGGCATTTTATATTCAGTAAGTTCAAATTAGTATTTCATTATTCATGTATTTGTGCATACTTGTATGGTAGCAATTTGGTGATGAGATACATAACATAAACATTAATTTGATGGGTGTTTTATTAATGTCAGTAACAACATTTCAGTTTTGAAACCTAAGGGTCCAACCTTACGGGTTTCTCTTTTTTTTCCGGAGAGAAGTTCTTCCTTTGCATAGTCATTAAAGAAAGTATGCCATATAGGAGTACAAATATTTTTAGTCAAATGGATCAGGCAGCTTACCAAAATTGCAGTTGTTAGTTTAAAAAATAAGAGGAAAGAGTTAATCTCCAATACGAACTCAGGGAGGGTTCTAGAACACTAAGTGAAATAAATTTTCCCCCTAGCTGGTTTTCTTCATTTCTGACCTCTCCTATATTGTAGTTTCAAAATCTAGTTAGGTAGACTGTTTAACCATTTAAGTCTGTTGCATATCAGCAGTTTTGATACATAGACTTCAATTACTGAGTTATGTAGAAATTTATGTAGAAATTTATGGAGTAATGGAAAGTTATGTAGAAATTAAGGCAATCAAAACTTCCTTTAATTACTGTATTTTTCTTCTGTTGTTTTTTTTTTTTTTTCCCAGCAGCTCCCTCTCCAGAAATCTGTTTTATACAGAAATTATATGATCATACATATAGTAAGAAGGAAGAACAGAAATATCCAGTAGGTATAGAAATGATATGTTTCCTGCTACACATATTTAACTATTAATTATCAATTAACTCACTGGGCTTCCCATTCTTTATGTGCAAAAGAGCCTGGTGGCTTGCAGCTGAAATGAATTTTATGGCAAGACAGTTGTCACGTGTATAGCACATTATCTCCAGGAATGTATCAAAGTCTCTTCCCTAGTATTTCATGAGGGTATAACCTTTCAAATTTGAGAAGCAAGCCCATGACAAAGATGAAGAAGTTGTAGAGCACAGTCTTCCTGGTGTGTTCCCTTCAGGAGCTGAAAGATAACCATCTGGGTTAACCATGCCAGAACACACCCTCGGTTACTTATTATGAGATTAGCTGTGATTCAACAATTGGACAATTGTTTCTTTCAAAAAGAAAAGAGATAATAATCTGAAATGCAGAGTAAAATGTCTGCTTGCATGATGATGGGGTAATTATGCTACTCTATGGATAATTCTGCATTACCTAATCTACTAATTAGCCTACCTTTTAATATATTTGCCACAGTTGGTAGCTAGCCCCTCAACTTCTGATTGATCAATTGAGCAATCAGCTTTCCACCTGCATATGACATGCTCATGAAACTATTAGAAACAAATAGGTTTCTACTCTTTAGCTGAGACTGTTTTAAAACCTGTGACTGTTACACTGTCTTTGGCGCTGTGGATTCACCACTCCAAAGAACACTATGTATCCTTACTCCAGTATAAGTGGGTTTTTTAAAAGAACTAAACTGCTTCCTAGATGACAAAAACTACATTGAAAAAAGACACTCCAACTACTGAAGTGAATGTTTTTACAGAGCATTACAGAACTGCGAATACATTTGTCTCAACTGACAGTGTGGGAAACAGTGAACAAAATCGAAAAGATGCTGTTATTTCAAAGGCTTTTCTCCATAAGTTTATTTTGCTACTTATGTGTCCCAGGGTTGTCTTGACTGAAGTTTATCACAGTTTTCTAAGGATAGAGGGAATGAGGGAAGTGCCCATGTACTCTCTCCCTTTCTCCTCTGGGAGCTGATCTGACTATGCTGCCTAACCAAAGTCTTGGGCTTCATGGCTCTCACCAGAGTAGCCAGTAGGGATTCTTCCAAGTCTAAGGACAAATCCCCTGTCCACAAAAGGAAAAGTCAGAAAAGCGAAGAAACCTAGTACTTTTCACCAAATAGTTCGGGTAACTCTCACTATTATTTCTTTTGTGAGACCTATATAGCATGCCACTGGCAGCTCGGTCATGCACAGCACGGGGAGAGTATAAAATTTAAATCTTTACTGAATGCTGTAAGGAACAGTATTGCCCTGTCATCCTTGATACTTGCATGTGTAGACTGCACCAGTATGGCTCTTCAACCACTCTGAGAGCCAACATGGAATGTGGTTACACAGAAGCTGTCCTTCTACTGTGTCCTCAGAAATGATATTATATGAATACAGCATCTTGATGCAATGTGATATGAGGGTTGTGCAGCCTGGAGTGGCTGTGATTTTTTTCAGAAAATGTAACACCTGTTCCAGTTGTTCGAAAGAGTCTTGGCTTTCTTTGTACTTCAGGTGGGTTCAGGGAGGCTTGGGATATGCAGTTCTATCTTTGATTCTACCGCATAAGAGATTATAAGAAAGACTTTTCTTCCACCAGAGATGCAGTAGATATACAGACGGATTTTGTAGGATTTGAGTTCTTTCCAACTGACAAGTCGAGTTGCTTCCATTATCTATTAACACCCTGTTCCATGGCTTGTTCAGGCAGTCCTCGTGATTGTAAGTTAGTGCTTTCACCTTTTCCAGGCTTTTTTTTCTTGCCTAGTTTGGTGAACTGCACCTAAAGTTGTTAGGAGGCACTTAACAGCTTTTAAGCATTAGACTTCTTTTGGAACGCATCCAGAGTCCCCTCAGATAGTTGGCTGTATAAATAAGTGCTCAAATGAGAAAAATTAGTTGAGTTTTGCAGGAATTTCCTTAAAAAAGCAGGAGAGCTGGACAAAAGGCTGTTCCCAGTACTTGCAGTCAGTGGCCACAAATACTATATATTCATATGATTTGAGAAGACCTCTCAACCAATCAGCAATACACTGATTTTGCTTGGAACCTAATTTTTTAGCAGGCAGAATAGCTCCTCCTTCTTCTGAGATGTAACGGTAGTTCATTGAGCTTTAAGCGTCTGTCTGAGCAATGTTAGCCAAAGAGGTTTAGTAGTTGTTCTGCTATCCTCCTGACCTCGCTTGGTCTCTGGATAACGTTCTGTGTAAATACCCAGGCTGATTCATACAAAGGGTGTATTTAGCAAAGTCAATAACTTTCTGCCAACTATCCCATTGCCATATTTTGGAACTACATCAGTCAATAATTGTTGCACAAACTGTTTCTAAAGAATCTGTTCTGTTCCAGGGAGCCTTTTAGCAGTCCTTCCTACTGGGCAGTCTCCACCCATTGCTCTTCAGGTCATTGCTAAAATGGTTGTTCTTACTGTGTTGCTAATACCTTGTGCAAGCCAAGTAAGTCATCACTTGGTGTCCACACCAAGATGTTCTTTCCCAGAGTTTCACTAGTGCTGTGAATATTCTCCACTGTATGTCAATGATTTATTTAAAATTTCAGCCAGTATGCCGATAATCCACTAGTAATCCCCAGTTTTCAGCTCATCTGGAAGAGAACTGTTCTGCAGTTCACTTGCTTATCTTAATCATTCCTAGGTTGCCTTAGACTTTAAATAAAGGCTCCTTTTTCCATACTAGAGGAGATCTCTCCCTTATGTACAGTCAGAGGCACAAAAAGCGGATCCAAGCTCCTTTTACTAAAGAGTTTGAATTCGGCTCCTGCTCTGACATTAGCTCTTTCCTTACCCACATGCCCTTTCCTGTGTCTGCATGTGGGAGCCTTGCCACTCAGAGCTTGCTGATGTGCATGTCTTGTGCTAAGTTCCTTAATTCTGCCTTTTCCAGGGATGTTGAGAGTTGTATACTAAACTCCACAGTCTCTGGAAAAGCACCCTGTCTTATTTAATGAAAAGAGGGAATTGTCACAAAAAAAGATTAAAACTGGGAGTTGAAATAAAAATACCTCGTGTTTTGGTCTTTTGATGTATAAAACACCTGAAGTATAAAACAATCATATCTTACTTGCCTAGGTATGTTTTCCTTCTGGGTGAGTATTGTCTTTCATAGTTTTGGTTTATTTTTCAACATTTTTCTCAAATAGCACAAATGAAAAAGATTTAAGTGGAATGGCTTTTATATCTTATTAGTAATGTATGTAAAGATCAGATCTAAAAATTCTGTTTCCCAACTCAGTTACAGAAGGAAGAAGATAAGCATGTAATAAAGCTGAGAAAATAAATAATGAGGTACTTCATTAACTAACTTGTTAATTTTTTTTTTTCCATTCAGATACCTCGAGAGCCGTATGCATCTGACCAGTCTCAGTCTCTACTGCAGTGAGTATAATACATCACACAGGAATTCCAGTCAGGCATACTGTAATTAAACAATTCTGTTATACCTCCATTTGTATGTTATTTTATTGTCAGTGTTCTATTGTGAAGCAGTTTTCTTGTTTGCTTAGTGAAGGATCTATATTTATGTCAGCAGTAATTCTGTGTCCAGTATGGGTCAAACTACCTGTATTTGTTTTTATTGATGATATTACCTTTCATGGTATAAGGGCATAAGCTACAGGAATGACAGTAAACTACTCAGGGAAAACCATTAGACAGATAAACAAAAATTTGTAATAAATAATATTAGACCTTTTGTTCTTAGAAGCTATGGAAGGATTTCAGTAGAAGATGGATTTATAATAGAAATACAAAAAGAAGTAATAAAAAATAGGAAAGACCATTTTTCCACTTAGGGAATGAATGTACAAACATAGCTATCTCCACTTAGGAAATCTGGAAGTCTTAGTTACTGCATGTCCTTGTAAAGAGAAGTATGCCTCTAAAATAGCTGCAGTTGTTTACATAAATGTAAGTACAAAACTGCATAAATAAACTAAAAGTACTGTAGAAATTTTCTTAAGCTGAGCAGATTACAATTCTTTCTGAATAAGAACTTTTTATTGTATTATTTAATTCTAGGGGTTGGATTCAGTGTCCATCACTTACTGAAAATATTTCTAAGCCTGTTTTTTCACTAAATGCTGCAGTAGAGGGACAGCAAAATAATTCTGTAGGTATGTTGTATTTTGTACAAAACTGAAAGTTGCTCTAGCTGTGGCAAAATCATTTGAGAAGCTGAAGATGAGTATCCATGTAGGTTTCTTTAGAATCTGACTATATGTGGCCTTTACAACAGTTTAGTTTTCATAGTTGTCTTGGATTACAAGTTATGTTTTTGTAAGTATTCTGTTAGGATTGTTTGAAGAAATAACTGTTTTCCCAAGCCAGTGGTATATTTCCAGCTTAAAATTATTTCATTGCTGTGGAATTTTCTGACAAAAGTTACAGGTTACTTGGTACTCAAGTGCTATATGGGTGTGTAAGGTAAGCATGGATGTAACAGTCATTGAGGGTTCTTACATGCTTCTTACTAACATATCCAAGAATCAAAGGCATCTTTAAGAAAGGAGAAACAAAAATGCTACTGGGCATTCCCCAGATCTGTCTGTCACGTGCTGCTACTTCAGTAGTACTTCCATTCCTCTGTCCTCACAGCAGTGCAGGACTGCCCCATCTGTTTTGCTGTCTCCCTGTTTGAACTAATTTTGCTAACCCAGTAGAAAACCATTCACTTTATTTCTGATTAGGAAATTCCCAGGGAGTCACGTGAATGTCAAAACACGGTAATGGGAGTAGGGGGGTTGGGACCAGCCCTTTTCAGAGGCAGTAAATTATTGGATTGTTTTAGCTGTATTGTCTAATTGCATTGTAATTACAGAGGGCAGGGGATAGGTCTCATCCTGTGGAATGGGCAGCAATTCGTCTGCTGGTAGTCTTTGGAAACACAGGCCTCTGAACCACAGTGAAGAAATGTGACAAAATAGCCCTGGAATATAATTTGGTGACTAACAGAGCCTTACTAGAAACCTCAGTGTCAGTTCCACTTAAGGAACATGACTATAGTAATTTTTAATGTTTGAAACTTCAGCCTTAATCAGGAAGTGAGGCCATTTTATTAGAGATTATGAGAACTTTAAGAAGTGGAAAGTATAACTGAAATGTTTGTTTACTCTCCTGAATTTAGATATCAAATTGAATGGATTTCAGAAAGATTCAGAAGAAAAGGTTAGTGTATTTTTACAACTGAATGTATATAAAATATAATTTAATTTAATTAGCATTGGAGAATATTTTACTGAAAAATACCTGGTTCTTTCATTTTAAAAAGCAGACACATAGTTGTTGAAACTGGCACTGAGCACATTAGGTGAAAACAGCTTAAGAGCTAACCTTTATCTTCTGCTTTTTGGGTAGGAACTACAGTTATTAAGCTTGCAGGGCACAGGGCTAGAAGCATAGCAGTAACAGTGAAGTAGGAAAGACATCACCATGGCAGAGAATCTATAAGGGCTGTTACTTAAGCTAAAGTAATGAAGACTTTTAGTAGCTTAAAACATGTTTTCCACCAATGAAAGTTGTGGGAGAGGCATTAGGAAGGTCTTTGGGGAGGAACAGAGTATCTGTAACTGTCCTTCTGTTTGGGAGTAATGACTGACTTGTGGACAAAAATAGGTAGTACCAGTCTCTTTGATACATCTCTTTGGTAATCCTAAAGCTGCTCGTGAGTGACAGGTTTCACTGCTGATGAGGTAAAAGTGAGGGAATAGCTTTGGAGCTACCTTTTCCCCCATTTGTCATCTCCTTTCTCAGCGATACTGAATCGAGGATGATTCCACTCCAGTGTGAGCCTACCTACTTGGGTGTTGCAAAGTACTGCCCATTTTCTTTGCCATGCGTTTCTGCTGCTTCCTTTGGGCCGACACTAGTGCTTGTTTGACCCCCAGCATGAAGCAAGTTTTGGGGAACAACTGTCAGATGCTGTTCAATTTTTTTTAGTTGGCTTAGTTTTCAGCCAGGTTATTTTTTCAATCCAGCTCCCCAGAAGATTAGATAAGTGCCAGTGCAGCACAAGAGAGGATGTGGAAATGCACAGCTGAAGGCAAGTGGAAGGATGGGGACTGTGCCAACACTAATTTAGATAAGCTTAATGCAATCTGAATGTTACAAGTGTAGCTCACAATAATACTGATTTTTTTAGTAGTTACCTGCTTGCAAGCACTGCTTTTGCACGTAAAAGAAAGAAAACCTTGGAGGGAAGAAGGAATTCCCTGACGGTTTCCAGAAAACACAGTAGCAAAAATTCAACGATATATCCATGAGAGCCATCCAACCCAGAAATGTCTTGAGCAAGAATTGAAGGTTCTGCAACCACCGACATAAACATCCAGTGATCAAACGTTCCCTTGATTCCTCTCCACTTCCCCTCTCCCCTTTTCCCTTCCAGCACTCCCTCCATTCTTGGTTTGCAGCCAGTGAAGTCCAAGCAGCAGTGAAGGACTTGAGCAGATTTCTCTCCAGTTAGCAGAGGAAGTGCTAGCAGCATTTCATGAAGGGGTTCTTGACCTTTGCCTCTGTATCATCTATCTGTATGCTATTGTCTGCAACCGCGATGTTACTTAGGTCTGCTCTGCTACCTCTGTATTGTTATCTCCTTCTGTTACTCCTCTGAGGCACAATGCCTTCTTTGTGCTTTTTGATTTCTAGTCTCAGTTCATCCCTGACCGGTTCATTGCTTTCAGGTCTACGTATGCTGGACAAAGAAACTGTCATTGAAATTTGCTCTGTTGCTGTTTCTGCAGCAAAAAGTAACTGCTATTACCAACTCCTATTGCAATGCCATGGACAGTTTTGAGGATTTCTGCAGCACTAGTGACATCAACTCCATGGGTCTTAGAGAAATGAGAGGATCTTATTGGGTACATGTAATGCTTGCTGTCATCTGCAGCTTTTTAGGAAACCTCACATTAACTTACAGCAGGATACCAGTTCCAGTATTTATTCTCTGACATTCCAGTGTGGAGCAATTTACAGCAATAGGCAGTGTAGTTATCTGCTGAAATAACCTGCTTAATGCAGAGACCATAGCATTATGACTGTTCCATCTAGTCCCATAGATTTGTACCTATAAATAAAAAGCTAGAATTCTATATAAATCAATTTTACTTTCCTTTTTTCAGGGAGCTTGATTAAGGTAAATGTTGGGGAAAAAACAGTACTTGCTAAAATTCACCAAAGACAAATTTGAGACCAGTATGGCAAATTGTTCATGTCTTGTAGCAAATATGATTGATTACATGGTCAGGTATCCCTTGTCACAGAACAAAGGAAAAAAATGAAATCCCCTAAGCTATTCCTTTTTGAAAAATATACAACTACCAATATACAACTATAATACCAAGTTTATTAAATGAAATATTCTCATTGTACAGAATTAGTTAAATAGAAGAAAATTGAATTCCCTTGAAACAAAGATTACCTATGATTAATAGCCTCTGAAGAATAGGCAGATTGAGTGCATTGGAATATCTCCAGAGAGGATATTTTAGGGGCCTGGAGTAAGAAGGTTGGGATTAATCATTGCAGTGAATTACATTTTTTGCATATTGGGTGATGTTGGCACTGGCAAGATCTGAGTGCTGCAGGAAGACCTCTTGTGAGAGGAACCAATGGCCATCACAGGCTTCCGTGTACTGATTTGAAGAAAGGACAGGACAGACACCTTGACAACCAGCAGTGAGTCACTGGGCATGTTAGTTTTGTGTATCTATTCCTGAAAATACAAGAGAAATTAGTTAATTAACATAATCTCTGCATAGAAGGCCTGACAGCATAAAATGAGTCTTGCTGGGTTTTCTTGATTTTGATGATGTAGCAGCTCTGATTTCTGTTGTGGTTAGTCTGTTAATAGTGGGGCCAATACTGTTCAACATCTTCATTAATGGCCTGGAAAATGGAACAGAATGCACCCTCAGCAAGTTCAGGGATGGTACTGGAAGGAGTGACTGATGCACCAGATAGTTGTGTTGCCATTCAGAGGGACCTGGACAAGTTGGAGAACTGGGCAGAGAGGAATCTCATGAAGTTCAGCAAGAGGAAATGCAAAGTCCTGCATCGGGGGAGGAGTAACCTCAGGCACCAGTACATGCTGGGGACCAACTGGCTGGAAAGTAGCTCTGCAGAGGAGGACCTGGGGATCCTGGTGGACAATAAGCTGGCCACAAGCTGGCAGTACACCCTTGAGGCAAAAAAGGCAAACAATATCCCGGGCTGCATTAGGAAGAGTGTTGCCAGCAAGTCGAGGGAGGTGATCCTCTACTCAGAACTGATAAAGCCACCTCTAGAATACTGTGTCCAGTTCTGGGTCCTCAGTACACGAAAGAGTCCAGCACAGGGCCACACAGATGATTAAAGGACTGGTGCATCTGGTTCTGTAAGGCCTTTGACATGGCCACAACATCCATCCTTCTCTCTAAACTGGAGAGGTACGGATTTGATGGATGGACTGTTCGGTGGATGAGGAATTGGTTGGATGGTTGCATCCAGAGGGTAGTGGTCAATGGCTCAATGTCCAGATGGAGACTGGTGACGAATGGTGTCCCGCAGGGGTCCGTATTGG